CGTGTGCTCTTCCGATCGAATGTGGTTTACTGGTCCCGTTTGGTTGCTTGAGAATGAAAATGTTTGGCCTTGCGAGGTCGTACGAAAAATAAAAGTTCCCGAATTGAAGAAGAATATTTGCCTTATGACAATGACTAATGACTCGGAAATATTTAGAAAATATTCTTCTTATACGAAGTTGATCAGAATTGTTGCGTATTGCTTGCGCTTCCGTTCTGTTAACAAATTTACAGGGTTATTATGTGCAAAGGAGATTAATGAAGCTGAAATACGAGTGTTGAAAATGGGTGATACCCGATTGACCACGTCCCGATTGACCACCAGCCACTCACAGCGCTTAAACAGTGGAAAATCTCTAGGCACCGGCCGCTGTGAGTGGCTGTGGTCAATCGGGACGTGGTCAAACGGGACGCTCCCGTTGAAAATTATTCAAGCGAATCGATTTTCTAACGTAATTATAAGACTCAAACATAATGATGTTTCAGCTAAATCTAAAATCGCTAATCTATGTCCGTTTTTGGATGATCGCGGTTTATTGCGGGTCGGGAGGACGACTTCAAAAATCAAATATGTCCTTTTCAAGTAAACATCCGATTCTATTGCCAAGTCGACATTATCTTACTGATTGTATTATTCGTGAAACTCATGAAAAACACCATCATTCTGGTATTCAAACCACGTTATATATCATCAGACAAAGGTTTTGGCTAATTGATGGTCGGAATCAAGTTCGTAAAATTGTACGTTCTTGCATACGTTGTTTTAGATTTAATGCTAGCACTGTCGAATATAAAATGGGTAATCTCCCGCCTTCTTGTGTGTGCGAAGCAACACCATTTACTAATACTGGCATCGATTTTTGCGGTCCTTTTTATATTAAAGAAAAGAAACATCGCAACAGAGCTCGAGTTAAAGTATACATATGTGTTTTTGTATGTATGACAATAAAAGCAATACATCTTGAAATTGTAAGCGACTTATCATCTGATGGCTTCCTCGCGGCGTTACGTCGATTTATTGCAAGACGAGGTGTACCAAAACAAATTTATTCGGATAACGGGAAAAATTTTGTAGGCGCAAAAAATCAATTAAAAGATATGTACGTCTTAATCAATTCCGAAAGGCATAAAGATAAAGTCTTTAAATTTGCGGGCCAACACCGAATTAATTGGCATTTTATACCACCATTAGCGCCACATTTTGGAGGTCTATGGGAGTCCTCAGTGAAGTCATTTAAACATCATTTTAAACGTGTTGTAGGAGATTGTTTATTTACTTTCGAAGAATTGAATACGTTTACTATTGAAGTCGAAGGCATATTAAATTCTAGACCGATTACTTCAATCTCTTCGGATCCAAACGACTTGTTGGTATTATCTCCTGCACATTATTTGATTGGAAAACCCATAACATCATTACCAGAAGAAAATTTGGTTTCTATTCCGATTACCCGCTTATCTTCTTGGCAACATATTATGAAAGTACGTCAAGATTTTTGGTCACGGTGGAGTCTTGAATACTTAAATGAACTTCAGACACGTAATAAGTGGATTAAAAATGGGCCAAAACTTGATGTTGGAACAGTTGTCCTTTTAAAGGACAAGAATTTACCCTGTACTAAATGGTCTTTGGGCAGGATTACTAAAAAATCTCCTGACGAAGATGGTATAATCCGGACTGTTATTGTTAAAACGGAGTCCGGCGAAATAAAAAGAGTTGCAAAAGCGTTGTGTCCGCTTCCCATCGAGTGATGGTATAATCCGGACTGTTATTGTTAAAACGGAGTCCGGCGAAATAGAAAGAGTTGCAAAATCGTTGTGTCCGCTTCCCATCGAGTGATAATTGTTAACAAATTGTATAAGACGTATATAATATTTTACTGAAAGTTATTAATTCAAATATTTGTATGCGTTATTTGTATAATAATTGTTCGGTTCCCTCTCAACGGGGGGAG